TTCAGCCGTATAGGAATCATCAGAGTCATTTTGAGAAATGTCCAAGAAGTCGGTCCCAAACGGACAATTTTGTCGGTCCCGATCGCCCGGTATAAACATTACGTAAACTGATTGTTTTCTTTACGTGTCCAAATAAATGAATAAATTTTGAAAGGTAATATAATGCTTATTGCCAACACTATTTATTAAATCAGCATTGTTTCCGGCCTCCGTACCGAGCTGTTGTACCCATTTATTTTAGTTTGAAAAGGACCGAACGAAAGAGATAAATGAGACTCTGAAAATACCATATCCGACGTTCTAGAGACTGCAATTTTGCAAATTAAATTGTTTCGACCTTTGCACCTTTTATGCAACCACATCTCAAGTATCACAGGACACAGAGATATATAGACGTAATCGTGGACAGAAATATTGATCGCAAATGGCTCCGCACACAAAAGAAATGCCATTTCGGAGATTCGAAGGTCAATATGATTCCTCGTATATACGCGTCACTTCCAAATGTTAACATGTAGAAAGTCGGTCCTCAAATACTTTACACTCCCCCAAAATAGTTTGGGATGTTCGTCCCTGGGTACATGTAGTTCGTACATATCGTAATAATTGGCAGTCGATTGGAAGTGGTGCAATTTTGTCACAATGGCGCAGCAATTGGTTAGTAACAGCCCTTTCAGTGATCTTTGAGAGAAATAACAAATTAGACATTGACCTAAAATTCTCAAATAATCGCTCCATACTAAGCTTTTTTAAAATGGGTTTCAGTAGAGCAATTTTCCAGTGATCCGAGACTCGACCCTCTTGGAAAGATAAATTTACAATTTTTGTAACAGAGGGTATTGGTTCAAGCGAATAGAGCTTGACAAGTCATGATGGATCAAGTTTGCAACTGCATAGCACTATAGCAATTGTATAATATAATAACATCATGAATATCCTGGAAATATCTTTGGTACCCGGACATTTTGCCGAAAGCACTTTGCCGAAAGACATTTTGCCGAAAGACATTTTGCCGAACGGACATTTTGCCGAAAATAGAGATGTTCTTTCGTCAAAATGTTTGGGACTGTGCCTCATTTCTCAACTTTGTACTAAATTTTCAACCATTGTGTAAAACAACCATTATATGGTATTAGCAATGCATATAGCAGTACTTAATCATATTGACTATATGTGTAGCTTGTTTGTTCAGCGGATGACTCATTTGTTAGGAACGTGTTTTGACGTCACATCGTAAACAAGCAAGCGTATATAAAGACAACGACGTAAGCGAATTTCACTTTAATAATATATCATTGAATACATTCACGGTTCTCGGGGAAATCGCATTCATGAATGATGTTAAATGATGTTATTCTTTATATTGCGAAATTTTGTCAAAAACAAAGAATATAAAACGAAACTATATTTCGCTATCAAAGTTTCTGTCATCAAAATCGACAATGACTTTAAACACAGAAACCAAAACCTTGTAAGCGAACCTTTAAAGTTCAGAAGATATCTCCTCTATTTTAATTCGGCAAGTTGTCCGTTCGTCAAACTGTCCGTCCGGCAAAATGTCCGTTCGGTAAAACGTCCGTTCGGCAAAACGTCCGTTCGGCAAAACGTCCGTCGGCAAAATGTCCGTTCGGCAAAATGTCTTTCGGCAAAGTGTGTCTTTCGGCAAAATTCCCGGCCACCGCATCACAAAGGGAATTCACAATTCTATAAAGTTTCTTTGGATCGTTAGAGCTATCATTAGTGAGGGTAGTATAATGATCAGTTCGAGCTTTATTTAGTAAGTGAGTGTACCTGTTACATATCTTTCGATAGGAAATCCAATCCAATTGCATCTTTCTCTCTAGACGCCTACGCTTTACTTTAAGTTCAGCATTGAACTTCTTAGTTCAGCATTGTATCAAAGATTTGATCGCTTAAATTAACTCAAATTCAATAGCTTTATTCGCACAGGAGCGTGTTTGTTTAAAGTGTATCGGACAGGGAATAGATAGTGGAGTGGATCGGACAAGGAATAGATAGTTTACATTCAACAAAACAGTTATCAGTAGATATAGATAGTACTCTCAATTAAAAGGATGTTAATGTCAGTTATAGGTCGGGTTAACAACAGATCCAGTATGTGGTTTTACGAATGTGTCGGAGTACTAAAATGTTGTTTAATGAAGGTGATCCCTATAGTTGTGAAAGAAACAGCAGCGAAAAAATAAGGTCTTCATAATGACGCAAACTATTTGCTATTTATGTGAAATGGAGATTTTTTTAAATAAAAACGCTTGCGTTTATACTTCAAGCAATGGCGTTCGAAAGAAGCAAATTTTGTGTTGTTATGGTAACAATGTGGCCTAAGCGACAGCAGACAAAGATCAAATTTTGGACTAAAAATGAATTTATTAAAATTTCCTTACTTGAAATTTGTTCCACAAAAACTGTTTTATAGAATTTTTCAGAAATTTAGTATATTACAATTAATGACTGGTACTTTTAAAATAAAAAAATTCAAAAAAGTAATTGCATTCCAAACCTTGCACGATCAAATGAAATTTTTGCTGACGTAATAAAATTTCAACTCGACAAGATCACGCCATTTAGTTACCATGCAGTCCCATGCTTAAACAACTGTGGGGAACCATGCACCTTAAAGCCAAATGTTTCAAGCATTTAATTTAATTTCATCGTGTTTGTGTTAACCGTATCATCCAAGTGACCAAGTGAAACTTGAAATCCCGGGGATCAATAAAATTTCTGGGCACAAAACATATCCTCCAAATAGTTTGAGAATTCATCAAAAAAATTTCCAGGTAGAATAGAGTGATCATCACTTCGGGTGATATTTCGCCGAATCACCCAAGTGGAGGGTCTATAAATGATATGTTACATCTGAACTTAAAAGCCTCCAAGTTGAGAATATAAAATTTGCCACATATATTTTATTTTTTATTAACGCAAGTATTTTCCCCGAGCCAACGGCGAGGGGTGCCGTTCCGGGCGTAAGCCCGGGCCGAGGTTACTAATTCCCCCGGCTATTTGCACTCGCGGAAACGAAAGCATTAGCGAAGTCTAAAGTTCATCAATGATCGCGGGAGTGGGTGACCAACGATGGGTGGTCATCCTCACTGATCTCAAACATACGGCGGACTGTTATGTATAGCGAACACTGATTGGTCAAATTTAAAATTTGCATTGTAACGACTGCATGACGACAGCAAAATATAGCAAACATTTCTTGATTTTGATTTTTTCTGTGTTGGTGTAATGTATACTGTTGATGATTTCGTGCAAATATATTTCATTTTTGCAAGATTTTGTGAATTTCAAAAGCTTTTTAAGAAAAAAAGGCAATTTAGTTAAACTGAAGCTTATATTACGTATAATAACATACATATAACAAAAATATGTTTGGGAAAATTGGTAATTTTGTAATTATAAAGTGATATATTTAGGGGATTTTTCATTTGCAAAAATATTCTTAAAAAATTATTGTGTTATCATGACATCTACTTTAAATACTTCATGTTCGGAAAATACAATGATTTTGTCAGAAGGCGAGGGTTTCTGCATGCATGTATTTTCTAGTACTCACTTTTCTTTCGAACCATATATCGTTTGGAATATTGATGATGACATTTCTCATTTTGCTTAAAAAATTCCAAAACTTATAAGTAATTCATCACCCCTTAGCTTATTTTGTTGGCTATCTTCTTTGCGTGGTCGTCTCACGTGACTTAGGCGAATCATATCACTCGTGTAATTCCTTAGTTTACTGTGTAATTCAGTCTTGCCTGCAATGCGGTATATCAGTAATTTCGATTCCGGATAATTCCGCGAAATATTACCCGAAGTGATAATTTCTAAGGGTAATATTTCGACGAATCGCCCGAGCGGAGAGTCTATAAATGATATATTATACCGAAAGAACCCATACACTAAGTTCATAATAAACTTTAAAACTTGCTCAAAATTAACTAAGCGAATACAATTTTTCATATCTTATTTAGCCTATACCTGAGTTTTTAATGTTTTCTCTTTTAAATATTTGAGCATGTATCCTTTGGATCATTGAAGGTAGCATATATACGTTTTGACAATTTGTACGAAATTACAAGCAACAGCTCGCGAACGCCATGTTATTTCAGAGCGTGGTGTCCACGCGCGTCACGCATGAGCGTGAGATACTATAATGTCTCACGGTAGATCTATCGTGCGATATTATAGTTTCTCACTGCACGCTGCATTGGGAAATCATGAATTTGAGTGAAAAAGCGTAAAAATTCACGTGGTAAAAATGCTGTTTTTTATTGGACAATTTGAATTTGAGGTATAATATTTAACAGTTATTCGCCAAAGGCAAGATGATTATCGGTGAATAAAAACAGAGACTAAGTCGAGGTTTTATTCACGATAATCACCGAGCCTGAGGTGAATTATTGTTTTGGTATAATTTCATTGGTGATTATTTGGAAAAAATACTCATTTCTTCGTCATTTAATTGATAAAACGGCTTCGGCCGCCATTTCAAAAATCGCTCAGGTGATTATCGCGTTATAATCAACGGCAACCAATCAGCGTGGAGTATTGTCAATAATCACCTAAGTAATTATACTAATATACATAGTGTATTACGCGTGGACATCACCGCACTTGGCATAATGAAAAATATAGGGGGACAAAACAGCAAAAGCTTGAGAACTAAGACTTGCTTAATTAAAGTGCTTTAGTAAAGATTTCCATGATCATGCACGTGAATATTAAGAGTATGTTACCATCAATGATCCAAAGGATACATACATGATCAGGGGGAAACGTCAAAAACTCATGGTATATAAAGAAAAATCTAGTTCGAGTAAACATTATATTGATCATAATAAACACCCTATCTAGGAACGCCGAGATGGACATGTTTTCTGATCACCTGTTTATCCATTTTCTCTATAAAAACTCTCTATAAATCCATTTTCTCTATATATGATAAACAAAAATTTTCTAATTTAATTATTTTTAATTTTTAGGTAAATGTTGCTCTTCTAGTGCTGTGTTTGTGTCTCAACATCTTTCCGGCCTTTTTATGGGTCAAAGAAAAGAGACAAGAACGACAGAACAAACGTACTGGAGTATATGACGTATGGAGATTCAAGTATAGTACCAAACAATAATAATTGAACAATAACTATAATTGAACAGTTATAATTGACGTGTGAAGATTCATTAACTGAATAATTGAATAGTTTTAGGCTATTCAATAATTTATAGAGATAAAAATATAATCATATAATTTTCAAATTTACGCTTGAGGCTGTTTATATATTGTCCCGCTTATACGATGAATCGATTCCGGGGAGTCCAAGATCGAGCATTTAAAGTTGTCTTTGGAAGTAAAACTATTAATAACTGGATCTTATTGTAATCGATTGGCCATCCTGGATGTTTGCAGATGTTTGAATGGAAGTGCACCTTCACCATATGAAAACTATTTTAAAAGAATTGAACATAAAATGAACACTCGAAATAACAGAAAGAACATTATTTTTCCAAAGGTCAAAACTGAGAGTGGGAGAAGATCATTCATGTTCCAAGGTGGAAAACTTTGGAATACATGCACTACCAGCAGATCAGAAAGAGGAGTGTTCGATAGTTAGATTTAAATCAAAAGTTCAGAATATTTTTAATGAATGAATATAGATAAATAACATCATATACTCATTCTCATTTTATTACCTAAAACGTTTAATAGAACATTAGAACCTAATTAGTCTTTTTACATATCTATTTATATATAACGTAAGTTAATTATATATAGTTAACCTAGTTTTTATAGAACAGTTTACAGGTCCTCTATTGATAACAGTATTCTTATACTGAATGAGTATACCTGTATGTAAATATTGTGTATAATAATAATAATAATAATAAGTGTGAAGTATTTTGAGCAATTGAAATAAGTCGCACTTCATGATCTAACGAAATTGCTTGTTACAAATTGTATGAAATTCCATGTTTTATAAAAGGTACAAAATAACACCTTTTCGGGTGCCATTTAACACCACCAGTTAAGGTGTCAAATTAACACCTAAGCAGATGCCAAAATAGGATCGCTTTTGGTGTCACAATAACACCGATTTGGAATTGTTTTAGTATTTTTTCCTTGGTGCTAAGGACAGTTTTAGACGTCGCATTTTAAATGAATTAAAACGAATGCAATTCAGAATTGCATTAGCCTCATGTAACATGCGACGCCTAGAACTGGCCTAAAAAGCACTTGATTTGGGCGCCATTTTTGCATAAACAGCATGATGATAAAAGAGTGACTTAAAGGGTATGAGCAACAAAAAAATTTATTGCTTCATCTGAAAGAGCATGAAAAAATAAGTCGATTGGCCGTTTAATGCTCTATTCTATCTCATCTGGTTCCGAAGTTATACGCAAAAATGTACAAATGTGTATGTCATTTTCGAATTATTATCATGCAAGTAAACGTTTGGCATGCATAGGTATGGTACACTTACTTCTGATATTATTTTATTCTTATCAGTACCATGAATAAAGCTGTTTTATAAAATTGGCGCAAGGGGCCTGGGAACGACATTGTTACCTTGGCAACAAAATTAGAAGTGTTTTTCCATGCGTCTCATCATGTACAATCAGTATCCAAAATTTCATTTGATTAATTGGGCCCATAATAACTGAGCTATGCTTCAGTGTAGTATTCAATAAACATACTTACCCAGCTAATGACGTCACACTTTGTGCTGAATCAGCAATTTATATTTTGCACATTTTTGCGTATAACTTCGGAACTAGATGAGATAGAATAGCGCATTAAACGGCCAATCGGCTTAATTTTTCATGCTCTTTCAGATGAAACAATAAATTTTTTTGTTGCTCATACCCTTTAATTAATATCAAAAAATGTTCAGACATTCCCCTCATGACAAATGAAAAAGGCACGCAAAATAACAACAGGAATATTTTTTATTATACTCCACTAGTTTAGTGGTTTATTTACACTCTACTTCAACGTAGCATTGTTAATTGAGTTCATATCTAAACGCTGATGTTGAGCTCTAGCTCTTTCATGAGTCTTTGAACCGATATTCTTAGTCGCTTCTTGCGATCGGTTCAACATAATAGCTTCTAGGTAGGCATACACATTCGAAACACCTGGTGGGTCACAAGTGGCCCAGACGTGTATCAGTATATATTAAATATATAATTATAGAATATACTACATAGTAAAATTTGTAATGAATTTTATATTTTGAAATTATATTTACTTGCCTACTTTGATTGTATGTGATCGTCTTTCATTTCTGGGCGACTTTACACTTTATGCCTGTGACTGTCGACAGTTTTATCCCATACCTGTGTTAAAAGCGGCTTTCTGATTGGTTTAGAGCAGGTGAGCTTGTCATCTAGCTCACCTGCTTTTTGCCCGAACTCACCTGCTTTTCGCCGAACTCACCCGCGAAACTGCACACGTTGCAATAACAATAGCAAATATGGCGGACACGATTTAGCAGTGGATTTAGCCGATAAACGTATATTTTACAGAACTTTTTTCGTTAACTAACCTGCTGAGACTGAAGAAAAACCAAAGAAAAAATGCAATAAAGGTAATATAGACGTAGATAGAGAAGTATTAAGGGAAACGCGCAGCCACCCTCGGTGCGTCCAATCCCGGACTCACCTCCCTGCAAGTACGTTTGTTATAGAATTCAATCAAAAAATTAAAAATCTTGACCCTCTCGAAGCTTTATTTAAGACCCTTTATTTTCTGTTGAAATGTATGTTTTTACCAGAAGTGGTCTTTCTGTGCTCGCAGAGAAACTACCTACAAATAACCAATTACGCATTTGATTGGCTTAGAGGGAAATTGTCAACAAATGCGCTGATTCCGAAATTGACCCTTGTTTGTCAAAGACGCTAAATTTGCACTTCTATAAATCAACCGTCGAACTTATGGTGCTAAATCAACACCCAAATCGGTTATAACACTCCATAAATTAGCAGTGTATATACAAAATATAAATGTTATTGAATGCTGTTAATCGTCTTCTTCCACCACATAACTTCTAGCGCATTTTTAAATTCGTTTAAACAATGTTTAATGTTGTTTAACCTTTGTTTAGGGCTTAAAAAGTATTTGAAGTGCTCAAAACAATTCACACTTCATTGAATCTCGCTTAAGCTGGATCATATAAACAGCCCCTTAAAATTTGTCATTCACAAATTTAAATTTGATTTATAAATATGTATCTTTGGTCCATAATGTAGAAAGAATATCACTTCTGGTCCCGGAATAAAAATTGTAATTTTGGTTCGGATTATTAAAGCAAAATCGTTTAGATTCCATCAAACTAAATGTATTCTTGCCACTGAAAACGCGCCCAACTACGCACGCAAAAATCTCCAAGTCTGCCAACAAGCCGTCAACAAGTCAGTTTGAAGTTGTTCCAAGAAGTCCGATACGTTCATGATATAACAATATTAACGGCTTATTGACCGGGCGTGAGGTCTGTACTGTGAAATATCAGACCGAGATTTTTTAGCATGGTCCGAACGGCGAAGGAGCGAGGTCCATGCAAAACAGAGGTCTGATATTTCACAGAACAGACCGAACAAGCGAGGTCAATAATCGGTTTATTATATGGCTGAACTGAGTCTGTGAGCATATGCTTTTCGCGCGAATTAAATCGGCTATCGTCAGTTTCACTGGGTAACAATATACGGTAGGCATGCATGCTCAATCAAAAAGAATTTGGTTGTTTGAAATTGTTATCTGTAAATTTTAATGACACACAATTGGAAAATTAAGAAGCATAAAATTTTCTGTTTGCAAAGCAAAATTTCCCGCCAGATAAACGACATCCGGGACACCGGTCTAGATACGAAAAATACCAGCATGAGCTCCACCTTTGAATTTACTATATGAGTAAATTCTTAAACACGTCCGATTTTATCATTATGATACATTCGCGGCACATTTTGAATTTAGCATAATAATAAATTCGTGGCACCTAACACTAACCCTAACCCCAACCCAAACCCTAACCACTAACCCCTAACTCTAACTTTTTAACTTTTTAATTTTTTTTTAACTTTTTAAACTTTTTTAAAAATCTAACTTTTTAAACTTTTTTGCTTTTTCAAACTCTTTTAAAACTTTTTTAAATCTATTTTTTTAAAAAACTTGAAAATCTTTAGTGCCATTACATTTATTACAAGAAGTCTTGTCTAATGCTTGTGGTTTTATGATTAACAGTCTATTGATAAATTCCAAATGTGCCGCGAATTTATCATAATGATAAATTCGGACGTGTTTAAGAATTTACTCATATAGTAAATTCAAAGGTGGAGCTCATGTTGGAAAATACGGACCACTGCCCGGATATGATTTTTTACGGACCGCTTATAAACCAATCAGAATTGAGAATTTTGAAAAGCCATATAATAAAACATGTTACAACCTTGTGTGGTCAACCTTGTAACATTCTTGTTATATCATGACTGTATCAGACTTGTTATAGAACAGCCTTGTAACAAGTCTGATAATATAACCATTAGCAAGCTTGTTACAAGTTGTTGAGGTATTTTAGTAAATTCTCGGAGCCTGATTATTTCAGCTGCTCGGATTTTATTCGATCGGTGCCTTGACTTTTTCTGTTCTTGAAATTTTGAGTGATTTACTCAATTGCAACTTCGGTTGGTAGTGACTCGTTGATTATCGAGAGATCGTCTGTAGGGTACTTATGAGGGAATTGTTCCAAATTTACAATTTTTGGTTGATTTTAATCGTATTGTTTCGTCCTGAAAATTAATGGTTAGCGTAATGATTTTGTAAATTCTTGTCCGATACAAGCTTGGGTCGATCTGACTGCGTGAGCGATGTGTAATTCTTCGCTAATCTATAAACTCTTCGCTTTTGCCCTACGATTAGCAACCATTATGCTCTGCACGCGTGGGTTCGAATCCCATCCTCGTCGCCAAATATAATGTACTTCTTCATTACTAAGTTGTACCAGAAATGTACTTTTATTACTTTCAATATCAAATTCCTATTAATTACACGTGGTCTCTCTCTGATCCCTAGATATATCTTACATCACGTGACATGACGTGACTACATTACAATACTCTTTTAAATCTGCCAAATTTCATTCCAAATAGGATGTTGAGAAAATTACAGCCTCTTTTAATAATTTAAATGAAATTATACACACTGCAGCTAGTAATCTGAATACCGGACGGCTTTTAAGTGATATAGTCATAATACTCACTAAGACTCCATCTTTTAATTTAATTAAATAACAAATGCCTTAAATTATGACACTTACCTACTTTTTTGTGGCTATCGGGCTAGGCACATTCATATACCTAGATTGCAATGTTTGTCGGAAGAGCACAAAGTGTAACTCCAGTTGTTCATATAGATCTACGGCGCGTGTTTGTAAAAGAACTGTTCTTTTAATGCGTTAAAGGACATTGGCACCCAAAATTTTTATTACTTATATCTATTAGGTATACTTGCGGAATATTTAATTTCATATTTTGGCCTGTTTGTCGCGTTTAGTTGTTGAGAAAATTTGATAAAAAGTTCGCCATTTTGAAAATAAGCGCGTATGCTAATTTATGCCACAGAATACATTACCTGACGTCAGTGGCTGGGTAAACACAATTCATGACTATATACAATACCGAGTATTGCCACGCGTAGTGTATTTTGAGCCGAAACAAAAGGCAGCAAAGTTTTACCAAGTATGTAACTTGTTTGTAACACTATTTCTGATAGTATATCCTACTCCGTGTTAACTAAACGCAGAAATTCGAGTGTAACAAGGCAAATACTAATGCAATATTTTATGATCAATTACCTGTATTGTAAATTGCGCCATTCCTTGATTTCCCAGTCGCACGATATGTTTTTATCTGATAGTGTAGACTTATCTTGTTTGATTGCGAAGAGTGTTGGCCAGTATAACGCTCAAAACGACATATTTTTAGCTAACATAACACGCACGTAATAGAATTCTCACTTGTAGTTTTGGTGCTACCCAGCCAATTACGTCAAAGTTCATTGACCTTCGAGATAATTTTTCAAAAAATATTTCCAAGATGGCGGCGAAACACAATGTTTGCATGCATTTTACCCGTAGACTAAAATGTTTGAGAACGAAATGTTAATATTTTCATAGTTAGGTCGTCAAGTAGGATTGAAATAGCCAATAAAAATTTTCGGTGCCATTGTCCTTTAAAACGTCGCTTTTGAGCCAGAGACTTTTCGGATCTTAAAATTTAAAGGTAAGTAAGCTTTTTTCTTATAAAATAGCATCCTCAAATGCTGTTTGTGTGCTTCAATTAACCCATTATGCCGCATTGGTTTAGGCATATTAATAGTTGTCAACGGGAGAGCTTGCAATATGTCTCAAACTCATACTTCACAAATATGCACCCAAATTTACTCTAGCTACTTTAGTACTTTGTTGTTTTAATCAGTGTTACACTATGCCGCATTGGTTCAGTGTGCAATGTTTCTTTTACTTTTGTCGTCGCTTTTGTCTTTTTGTATATACTTTTGTCGTGCATGGTTTTACTGGTTTTTGTCTTTATATATAATTGTGCATAAATTATGCCAGATTGACAAGGTGAGAGCTTTCAAATATGAATATATCTTGTTAAACTGGTACAATGCACTCAAATTGACCCCATATTGTTGTTTTAATCTGTGTATAAACGCCAGACGATTAACCAAACAATCTGCTAATATTTCTTGTTATCCCACTAAGTTGCAATATATTGAAAAAATTATGCCCTAGATGATTTTACTCGATAACACTAGACAATTTTACTTGTAGAGCCAGTTGTTCAAATCATGATTAGTGCTAACCCTGGGTTAAAAGTCAATTACCCAAGTGCTATTTTGGTTTGTCTATTTCTGTACGCATGTGTCTAATGCCAGATGATTTTACTTGTCAAAGGAAAAGTGTGGATGTTACAGTGCGTCTACAATAAGTGGGGCCATTTAGAGAATAATAACCAATCGCATTGCAGAACAAAAACAAAAATCTAATGAAACTAAAGCTCGTCCAATCAAAAGAAAGATTCAGGAAGCCATTAACTGCAGTGTTTACTTTTCAAGTCTATTTTTACCGTTTTACATTCATTTATTTGTTCAAATTGTTTTTGGGCTAATGCTGATTGGCTAATGCGCCGTTTTTTCAATTTTTGTTCTGCAATGTGATTGGTTAGTGTTCTCTAAGTGGCCCTACTTACTGTAGACGCACTGTAATGAGTTAGGTATGGTAATCAAGATTCAGCTGAAGGCTTTCTTATAGTTGGTCGTTGCAATATATGCTGAAATGCACCCCACTTTTGTTCTTTTATTTTGTATGATGCCAGATGATTTTACTCAATAACACTTACCTAGACAATTTTACTTCTGCAGCCAGGTGTTCAAAGCAGGATTAGCACTAACCTTTGGTTAAAATTCAATTACCCACTATTTTGGCAGTGGCAAACACTAGGGAGGCGAAGGGCACCCCTCCCCCCTCCCCCAATAATTTCCCTAAGCCTTTGAATAATAGCTGATTAACTGTGTAACAAAACTGTATCAATGATTTTACTATCATAAAATTTTTGATAGGCTATAGTAAGTGCATGATATTTAAGCCAAAAGGGATCTAAGAATTAAGATTTGCGGCAACAAATGGGTGGTTATGTTAAATGGTAACCTAAGCCTCAGGCTCCTAACCAATATTGTGTGAAGTGTCCGCCAAAGTACTTATACATGTATTTTGTCTGTAATTTTTCGATTTTGCAAACTGTTCTATTGTCAAGAGTTGCCGAAGTTGCCGACACTCCGGAACCAACGTGTTTCACTGACCAGTTTCTAAAAATACGTTATTTTATGTTATTTAAAGAGTATTATATGACGTTCAACTTACAAATATGTGATGATGTCTTGATTTGTCTAATTAACTGATTTGGCACATTTAAGTGTGCCAAAATTCGTTAGTAACAAATTTTGGCTGGCCACATGTACGCATTCGTACCTATTTTTTCAATTATATTTTTCTTTTCAAACTTCAAAAATAACCAACTGCTGTTAATCGCATCAATAAAATCTGGTTTCTATTGTTCAAATTCAATCAGTTTTTGTCTCAAAACTCTTGCCGTCAACAATGCCGTTATAACTTGACATTGGCAGAATTGGTACAAACTTGATAAACACAGCCTCGCTACAAGGTTGCTGGCAGGGGCGTAGGACACGTTTTAAGAAGTCACAAAAAATGCCCTTTTTCCGATGTCAAAGTGCCCTTCGCCTGATTAATGTCCAATACCCATGCAAGATGTCCGATGGAAAAATCAAAAAGCCATTGGACATTCCATTTGTCAAATGGATCTTTAATTGTCCATTGGAATTTCGCGTGTCCATTGGATCCAATGGACAAATGGAATGTCCAATAGACCTGGAAATATCCATTGGAATTTTGTTTGTCTATTGGTCCAATGAACAAATGGAATGTCCATTGGACATTTGCTTCTCCAGTTTGTCAATTAACATGTCTTTGAATGACGTAATGACAAGCTTATGGACGTCATGTAGATAGTAGGCAATTGAGATAGCCAAACAAAAGTGTCCATTGGATCCAATTTTGCTTGTCGATTGGATCCAATGGACAAGTGGAAGTTCCATCGGACATTTGCTTTTTCAGTTGTTCAATAGGAAACTTGCATGTTACCAAAGCATCATGGGAAAAATGGTAACCTTCACTTGGGCGCGAAATGGCCGCCTTGGAGCGAGCATTTTGCATGCGAGAAATATAGTTTATTTTTAACACTTTGCTCGTAACGTTTGAAAATTTTAAAACAAAGGAGAACTTTGTAATGCTATAGAGTTTGTTTTGACAGTACAGCGAAAGTACAGCGAAATCGAACCGAAAATGGACGAGAAAATTCCTGTAGAAGAACTGAGGAGCGAACAGTGTGCTCATAAATACGTTCCAAGAGGAAGGGCCTTCCCAACCTTTTTAAGGTGAGCACGCTTAGTAGGCCTAAACATCGGACAGCTCACCATTTTAAACTACAAATATTTGTGTTTTTTCTCGATGTATATCTCGTATTTTGACAACGATCGAGTGTTTCCTGCGGATTTTTTCGCTTGTTGAAATCGACTCATGATTCATGACAAAATGTCTGTCGATCGTTCGATCAGCATGGCGCTCAAACACAATGTTTTTAAAGAGACCTTAAAATGTTTTGGCTCGAACTAGAAGAAGTTCAAACCGTTTTTTTCTGCCCCGGCTCCGTTACTTTACAAAAACGCCAAAGAGAAAGCATTTTGCCTCTGTTGTCGCTTATTTTTCTGCTCCCTTTGTTGTGGTCGGTTTATTTCCTGTCAAAATAAACAAGTAGGTTTTTAGTATTAAAATATTCGGTTTAAAATATATTAAGTTCGTAGTTATATTAACGTAGGAAAAACCGTTTTAAATTTGCATTTAAGGTAGTAGAATATAATATAGTCAATTTTTTAAATTTAGTTATTTATAGTAAATTTAGGTATTTTAATCTTCAGGCAGGCCCTAATATAAGGATTAAATTTGTAAATAGTGAAATAAGTAATTAAGGTATATATATATAGGTTTAAATAATATAAATTTTTTGATGGATATTGAGCCTGGTACTTCATCGGAGGAAGATAAGGATTTGGCAGCATTGGGAGATGGTTGGACAAAGAATTTAAAGTTTATTCCTGGATTCTCGTACAAAAAATTGTAAGACCATTTGGTACTAGAAGAAAAAATAAACACCTGATGGCAAGCCTGCTGAGGTATTTAAGCACAAGAAAAGTGGATACAACTATTTAAAGCAGGTTATCAAAGGCAGATCATGGTGAAACCCAGTGGAAAGAAAGGAAATGAAGCAGTTCATTTTCTTGTACAGTGCCATGTAAATGCAGAAATGAAGAAAACACTGTACCTTGTTTATGTCCACCTTCATCAACATTCAGGAGATATTGCCTATGCAAAATGCTATTACCCTGCTGGCGCTGGTGGCTGTTGTAAACATGTTTCAGCCACTTTGTATCAGGTTCTCGATTATATTGAACTTGGACTCTCAGATATACCAGATGATAAAACCTGCACCTAGGAATTACAAAAAATGACATGTCCCTAGAAAGAACACAACACAAGCAGCCCTGCTTTTCGAGGACCTCATTTTCCCCCAGGATGGAGTACAAAGGATTTTGTGGACATCTTCCAAGCTGAAGTTGAATTACGTAAGTGCATGCCTTGACGTCGCTACCTGCTAACAACAAAGATGGGAGTAACCGGCACGAGACGTCGACGCGAACCTAGTACTGCTAATACTCTTTTCTCTGGAACAATGAATTGTGCCTATTGTAGAGGAAACCAGAAGCACGAAGACTGTACGAAAGTGACGAGCAGAAAGGCTACTACTAAAAAGCGATACAGCGATAAAGGAACCGGAACCTGGAACCGTGCATAATTTATGCAAATTAGAGCATTTTGCACCACAGGAGATATACATAATAATAATATACAGGGGGGGGGGGGGCAATTCAATGATATTATAAAATATTATATGCAAGGTATTTTGATTTTAACTAACCACAGTTAATAAAACAAAGTATGAACATCGTTCTAACACTACATATTACGAAGTAAAACATGTTTCGTAATTGCGCGGCGATTCTTTTTGGCAGTTTTGATATGACTACATGTGACGCACTTAGTTTATTTAGCCGCCGCACTTGGTTATAAAATGCCAGTAGACAGAGAAGGAAACCACCGCACGCAAAGCAGATTGCACTGAATTCGCTAGCAGTAATTCATGTGCGCTAAAGTAATTAGAATGTAGTGTACTGGCAGTGATGCAATCCAGCATTTGAATGTGCTATGTACGCTGCCGAATACGCGAATATTGCGAGTATTCTGCATGCTAAAAATATCCGCTTGAACATCAATCACAAACATAAATGATGTTAAATTATGAAGGTAATTTAGTGGATATTCTGCCTCCGTTGGTTAGAAGTGTAGTCCACCAAAGATCACAACAAAGTTTTATAAATTTATTATATTCTCTCAATCACAGTATATTAAATCACTCACGTCTCGGTCTTGCTATATGTCCCATCCCTCTCTATTCTATATTATCAGTTCTGCCTCAGTTCTCTCTCACCTAGTAACAGCCGTCACTCATCTAACTATATGATTAAAGATCGTCTAATTAACTAAATAACTAATATTAACTATGAGATAATAAAACTTGACCTGTCTCCAACGCACTCCCCCCATGAACTTGGGAGAAGTTCATGTTCTCTATAAAACCCAACCATGCATTTAAACAAAACATAACAAAATTAGAGTAAATGTTTTACTAAAGTGAAATCTCATACTGTTCGAGTTCCATTGTTTCCTGGATCTTAGCATTTGCTGAGACTGCGGCATCTCTTCGTTGACGGAATGTCGGGGCGTTAGGGTTTAATTCCGAAACTTTCTTCTTTTCCTTCTGTGCGTCGCAGGACAACTCTAGGGGATAAAGGTGTTGTACAGGACGTTCAAGTTCTCCTTTCTCCGTTGTAAGCTTCACAGCTCGCGTCACTCCATCTTTACCAGGGAATGTTTCGGTCACCACTGCTAGAGGCCAGCAGCCGCGGTTCTTGTCATCGGTCCGAATGATTACAACGTCCCCTTTGGCGACTTGGAAACCCGTGTTTCCAGACATCATGTTGTGGCGTTCTCTTAGTGCTGTCAGATATTCTCGTCTCCACCTATTCCACCGCTGGTCTTTGCAGTTTCTTAGGAACTTCAGTCTCTTTCGGAGATCTCTGTTCTCTTCGTTGTGAGGTTGAGCTTCTGGCAGTTGGTTGGGTCTCTGGAATAGAAAACTCGCTGGAGTTAGTACCGGTAACTCCACATCATCTTCAACGTAGCTCAAGGGACGACGGTTTATCTGATTCTCTACGTCAAGTAACACTTCGCTCAGCTCGTTCCAATGCAAATTTCCTTTCCCGATCACTTTTCTCATTGCACCTTTAACCACTCCGATAAGGCGTTCGAACTGTCCTCCCCACCAAGGGGCTCGAGACAGATTAAAGATCCACTTGATATCGTTCTCTTCGAGGTGGTTGAGAACACGCTCGTCCTTTTGAGCTTTCTTAAGCCAATTTAGAGAGAGAAATGAAGTTAACTCGGAAATGAAAAGGGCCAAAACTGTCTATTATCAAACAAGAATTAAGGAATTTTCCCTAGCTAAAGACATGAAAAAAAAACATGGTCACTGATAAACACCCTATTGGGCAAAGGTGGGAAATCATCTAACATTGCAGAAATTAATATTAATGGCATAATATATAATGATTGCAAACAAATTGCTGAGCACTTAAACGACTATTTTGTTAATATTGGCCCAGCACTCGCTGCTGAATGTGGACGTCTTTCGGATTATGAAGACAAGCATTGTAATTCAATTGGTGAAAATTCAAAATTCTATTTCCATACAATTACTGAATCCATTATTCTAAAAAACTTGAAAAATCTAAAAGTATCCAAGGCTACCGGGGCTGATGGAATATCAGCCAAAATGCTGAAATTATCTTGCGATATTATTGACCCATCCTTGACCTATATATTTAATCTCTCAATTTCTACTAGGATATATGTTGATGATTGGAAAAGAGCTAGGGTAATACCTGTTTATAAAACAGAAGATAGAACGAAATGTGAAAACTATCGCCCGATATCTATTCTTCCCATTATCAGCAAATTATTTGAGAAAGAAGTATTTGGACAGCTCTATCAATATCTGATAGACAATTCTCTACTTCCACGTTTTCAATCGGGCTTCCGGCCCAAACATTCCACACTGTCCTTATTAATAGAAATGAGTGACAATTGGTTTGAAAATATGGATAATGGAGAAATAACCGGATTAATTTCAGTTGATATTAGGAAAGCCTTGGACTCTATTGATCATAAAATCCTATAAAGGAAGATGCAAGACCAGTTTGGTGTTCAAGATTTTGAGCTAAAATGGTTCCAATCCTACTTGACGAAACGAAGCCAACTTTGTGTTGTCGATGGCCACACATCGTTGGCTAAGGAAATTGTATGCGGAGTTCCACAGGGATCTATCTTGGGACCCCTCATGTTTTTACTATATATAAATGATTTGCCAGGATGTCTGAAAAACACAACTCCTGGCATGTATGCTGACGATACTCAAATATATGCATCTTCCGCAAGTTTCTCCGAACTAGTAATCAAACTTAATCAGGATTTAGAAAATATAGTCAAATGGCTTTCTCGAAATAAATTGCAACTTCACACAAAAAAGACAAAAGCAATGTTTATAGGATCACCCTATAACTTAAAAAACAAAGTTGGTAATGAACAGGTTATGATAAATGATAAACCGGTTACTCGATATTCCTCTTTTGCATGTCTGGGAGTAGAACTAGATGAAAGAATGAGCTGGGAAAACCATATAGACACAATATGTAGGAAAGTTGGCTCTGGTATTGGAATCATCAAAAGAGTAAAGCCGTTTGTACCGTCCGAAACATTACAAAATTTATATAATTCTCTCGTTCTCCCATATTTTGACTATTGTTCATCTTTATGGGATAATTGTGGAAGCATGCTCAGAGAGAAATTACAAAAACTACAAAATAGGGCGGCAAGAATTATGACAGGTGCCAATTATGATGTCAGGTCGACAGATTTGCTCCATGCTATGTCATGGAAAAATCTGAACGACAGACATAAAATGAATAAATCGGTCTTGATGTTTAAGAGAGAATGTCAGTAAAAATCGAACATGTGAGACATTGCGCGGCCACGACTGAAAAATCGATTTTGCTCAAATTTTGCCCAGATATACCTTATTATATCGGAAAATGCACCATATATTTTTTTAGGTCCAATGCTTTTTTAACTTTGAGAAAATGCCGTTTTAACACGACCACCCTAAATCGCCATTTTTTCTGGGAAAATATGTGCTGATTTTACAGATAAATTTCACGAGGACAACCGTTTCTAATCAATCTAAAACCCTAAAAATCTTGTTTTCGGTTATTCAAAGGACGGTATACATGACTTACAGGAAATCTGAGTTACTTTTAGGAATAGATATAATCGTAGTTTTGGAGCACACTAACTTACTTCATTTACGATACCCTCTTAACAAAACCGATTTTCACCATGCGATAAAGCTCCAAATCGATCATGCTTCTACTAGTTGGCTCTTTAATAAGCAAGCTTTCAATTGACGAAAATACTTCTTTTGGCAAATGAATACGCGATAAACGACAGCGCGTTGAAATCGTCCGTTTTTGACGTCTTGCAAGTCAAACGCTGTTAATTTACATACCGTCGAGGTAAACAATTTAATCAAGTATTTTAAGTATTTTACCTTTTGAGAAGAAGATATATTCTTGAATGGAGACTTTTTGCCTTGCTTAGTTTAAAATTGGTCCAAAAATCCCGAGATATTTGTAAAATATCATCATATACAGGTATTTTGAAATATAATATTGTTGCCAGTTGCATGACAACTTCAGATCATTGTTCAATATTGTATACTGTCGTGAATTGCCTCCTATATTCACAACAACTCACTAAAAGTAGAGATTTCAACGCTTTTATGAAAAATATATTTATTCTCGCCCCGTCTCAACACAATCACACAAAATTCTTGCAATGTACAAACCGCATGCTTTTTGATTGACACTTGCGCATTAATTAACTTCAGGTATGCCATAAACTGTTAAATATTAAATATTGACAATCTCCAACACTCTCCCCCCATTTATCTACTATTTGAGATAAATGTCGTCCAATACATCTGGAGATTGACCAATGATACAACTGTACTAAATGTCAACCTTAGTATATTTCTACATCGTTCTGACTGTTCACAGTTCAGTGTCCAAATGTTCACTTGAAATTAAGTCTATTGTTCATCCTCCGCGATCTCCTGAACACGCAATTTAGCCGCTACAGCAGCATCCCGCTTCGGTCTAAATGTCTCCGCTTTCGGGTTGAGTAGTGCCGGTACTGGTTCTTTCTTGTCGACCGAGAGCTCTAGTGGGTACAAATGCTGCACGGCACGCTCAATTTTAGACTTTTCTGTACGTACTTTGGCTCCCCTGATTTTTCCATCTTTTCCCACAATCAGTGCTTCGACAATTCCTAACGGCCAACGACCACGTTTTCTCTCGTCTGTTGCAATAATCACTACATCTCCTACCGTTGGCACTGCTCGAACGATGTCTCTCACGAAGGCTACGCAAATATTCCTGGGTCCACCGTCTCCAAAGCGCTTCTTTGCATTTCATCAAGTGTTTCGCTCGTTTCCTAAGGTCACCGTCCTCAATATTATGTGGTTGCAATTCGGGTAAAATATTACTATTCAGAAACAACATCGAACTTGGCGTTAACACTGGAAATTGCACGTCATCCTCCACGTAAGATAATGAACGGTTATTTACCGCCACCTCGACATCAAGCAATACTTCCTCTAACTCGTTCCATCGCAGGAAACCGTTTCCAATGGTCTTGCTTAACGCTGCTTTCACGAGCCCAATCATCCTTTCGAATTGCCCGTCCCACGTAATCCAATGCAGAACTACCGAGCTGTCCGACCAACATTGAAATTTCGTAACCGGAAATCCGATCAATGCCTCCTTTACATTTGAAGCCAAGTTGACTGCCATATGCGCCGCTACCAGTTCAAGCCTCGGAATCGTTAATCCTCGCTTCGGTAGTCTTGATCTCGCCGCGACTAGGCCTTGGTTGGTCCCCGAATCGACACACGCCGCAACCCCGTTACCGCTCGTATCTCCAAAGGAATGCAGTTGGATGGCTTCAATTAGCTCTTGATAAACTGCCAAAGATCTCTCAGTTTCCACTTGTACTGGAAATTCACTGTTCCACTTGTTCCACAACTTTGCGAGGGTTTCTGAAAGTGGTGCATCCCAGGCATTCTTGGTGTCACATGCTGCACGGTAGATAAGTTTACCCGTAAGCGTTAAAGGAGATACGAAGCCCGAAGGGTCATACATCCTGGCGAGCTTTGCCAAGACGCCCCGTTTGGTGAACACCGTCTTTTCAGTGGGCATTGTAACAGCGACTGTATCTCGTTCTTTATTCCACGCAAGTCCGAGCAAGCTACTATCTCCCCCTTCTGGGGTCTCTAACTGCTGTTTTGCATGCGTAGGATCACCGTCTTGAGACTGTGTCGTCTCTAATTCACGCTCATTCGAGTGCCATTTGTGAAGCTTAAGCCTCGCATCCTCGAAAATAGTTGTTGCTTTCTCTTTAACTTCTTCTGTTTTCGATACTGATGTTGACCCCGTTATCAAATCGTCCACGTACAACTCTTCACGCAGTTTTGCTACTACTTCCGGTTTTCTTTCTTCCCAGTTACTCAGGTGTGCATCAATGACTCCCCCCAACAAGAAGGGAGATGATACAAGCCCGAAAAGTGCCCTGGTAAATCTCAAGGTCTCTAGTTCTGATTGCTGATCTTTCCGGCAGTGAAATCGAAGCGCGTCTCGGTCGTTTTCGCGAATACGTACTTGCAAAAAGGTCTTTTGCAAGTCACCCGTCAGAGCTACTGGATGAAACTGTCCTCTAACTAACACATCCCACATTCTATTTTGCAATGTTGGTCCCTGATGTAGACACTCATTCAGCGATGGAACACCGTCATGTGCTTTTGCAGAAGCGTCATAGACGACTCGGATTTTTGTGGATTCTGCATCAGGTCGAATAACTGCTTTGTGTGGGATGTAGAATTCTCTTCCTACGCTCCGCAGTTCAGCTTTCTCAATTATCCCCTCTGCCTTTTGTTCCTCCATTATCTCCCCGTATTTGGTTGTCAAACCTTGCCGCTCGAGTCTGTTCGTTAAACTTGCTAATCGTCGCAAACTATTAGCTTCGTTGTTGGGTAATACAGGATGGTTGCCGCGCCACGGTAGCCCTGTTTCGTACCAACCAGCTGGGTCCCGGGTGAGTTGTTCTTTGAACTCATCAAATACACTGTGCTGGTCGTTGGTGGGTGTATCTTTCAAACCCAAGACATCCAGGCGACACAGTTCTTCGTAATCAGCCTGGGATGTCTGAGTCAAAAGCATATTGGTCGCGTCGCAGGATTCTTTTCCAGGGGACATGATGGTCCATCCAAACTGTGTCAACTCAGCTACCGGTTGCCCCGGTTGACCAACTCTGGGTGGCTGATCAGTTTTCAACATCGCATAGTCACTTGCTCCGAGAATGATGTGCACCGGAAGTCGCTCTTTCTGATCAATGTCTTCCATGATGACTCCTTTCAAGTGTGGGTTTTGCTCTATCATGTTCTGATATCTCGGATTGTCCATGAACACAAGTTCTCCTTTGTTCACCTTGGTGACTTCGACTTTCATAGAAAATTTACCCGATGTTCCCTTGATTTCAATGGTTAACAATTCGACTTCCCTCGTAGTCACACCGAGCATCATATCAATTTTTCGTATTTCTCTCTTGGACGGCCGCTTTGGAATGCGATCCAACAGTGCTGCCGACGCGTAAGAACTGCCTGCTCTGGTGTCGAGCAGGGCTCTGCACTTAACACCTTCGATCTTGAACCTTTCCCGCCTTTTAGTTAATCTTTTGGCTCTGATTTTTCCTCGATCGGATTGATATCTTTCCACTTTTTCAGCTCTTTTAGAAGATCATCAAAGCTCCATTTTTGCCAGCCTTCATTTCCGCGTACTAGGTCTGCTTTTATTCCCTTTAACTTGTCCAAAGTTGCTCGCACATTTCCTCTCACATCATCTAATTTGCCAAGTGTATCAAGACTTTGAACGTTATATCTCAGTTGTTTATAGAAATCGTGTATTTTAGTAGGATTTGTCCCTGAAATTACCGGTAGATTGGTGATATTTACTATGTATGCGTTCGCAACTTCAGCTGACTGTCCGTATTCGGTTTCGAGAATATCTTTGGCTTTCGAGTATCCCGCTTCGGTAAATGGCAGGCCGTCAATGTCACAACGTACAGACTCATCAAGTAATTCTTTTAAGTAGGCAAACTTCGTTAAGATTGGTATTTTCGTTGATTCGATTTCCGACGTAAATTTTCCCCAAAACGGAGCCATGATTCGAATTTGCCGTCAAATTTCGTTATAGGTAACTTCGGTAATTTAGCGGCAGAATTTTGTTTACATTGTTCGCTATTTTCTGCTTCGCTTGCTTTCTCTTTCTCGCGTTCTTTCTCAAATTCAGCTTTTTGCTCGAGTAATTCTCGCTCAAATTCAAGGTTTTTCTTATGATCTTGCACTGCCTTCTCGTGTTGTTCTCGGCGATCGATTTCTTTAATTTGTTGAGCCAATCTTCGTACATTTTCGTCCGCTATAGCAAGTTCGTCTTCGTATTCTTTAGCCCATTCTTCGACGTCTTCTTCGCTCTCGCCCTTGGAAAACTTCTTTTCTTCTATGGTCTCTTTAAGATTGATTATCGCTTTGGTGACATTGTCAATAGATTCTTGCTGACGCTCAGACGCTTGCCGGTCTTGTTTAGCCATTATTTCTTCGGTTTTTCCTTGCCTAAATCTCAGGGCTTTTACTTTGCTCGCGAGTTCGTTTAGTTGTTTATCCATGTTTTTCTCGAGAATATATAAAATATATTATTTCACAATGTCGATTCTTCACAACAAGCACGGGTTTTTTGCTCTTGATTCGAGCTAACTCACGATTAATCCCGTTCGGAGGTGCCACTGTGTCGTGAATTGCCTCCTATATTCACAACAACTCACTAAAAGTAGAGATTTCAACGCTTTTATGAAAAATATATTTATTCTCGCCCCGTCTCAACACAATCACACAAAATTCTTGCAATGTACAAACCGCATGCTTTTTGATTGACACTTGCGCATTAATTAACTTCAGGTATGCCATAAACTGTTAAATATTAAATATTGACAATCTCCAACATATACTTTAATAGCGCAAACATACAAATCGATGAGCTGTTTAGGGATTTTATATTTGTTACTAAATTTCCCAAAATTAGAACTTCAATTGACAATTGTTGTTTTGTTCCAATTTGCATTGATCCATATAATGTACATTTAGTATTTACATATCGACTATCGAGTATAAATGTTTACGAATACATAAGTTAATTATTAATTAAGCAGCTGTTAATAGCGTGTGTGTGAAATGAACATTTATCCATACAAGGATTTGTTATTTTATTATATATTCTACCACCTCAAACTCAAATTATAGGCATATAGCAAATACTGTAGTTTAGAATAATGTGTGTTTACTTTGATGCACAGTGAAAATAATCAGTAAAATTACTTTATTTTGATACACTAATGTCTATTGATCTTATTATATTTCACAAATACTAGTACCCAAAAATACAGCATTGAGATATGTTGGCCCAGTGCGACACCACAAATTATTATTGTCTCCCCCATGCACACGTCACGTTTAAAGAAAATGAAAGCTTGTTGCTCGTTTAACGCCGGATTAACCACGTGTCAAATACGGCAAATGCCGCGGCCCTCGCGCTTTACTATGCTACGCCAATTTTTACGAGAACACGGCCATTTTCTATTGCGACACACCCATTTTAGGTGCCTCGCGAATTTAGGGACCTCACGCATTTAGGGCCCCTAGCACGGCCCCGGGAAAATATGCAATACTCGTGTTCATATTAAGCAATTATTGGATGAGGCTGAGCATGATATCAAGAATTATTCAGACCGAGGTCAATGTTATCTGCCGAAGCGAAGCTGAGGCGGATAACATAGACCGAGGTCTGAATAATTCTTGATATCATGCGAAAGCAGAATCCAATAATTGTTTTATTATACATTTAAAGACATGAGAAACGTATAAAACGATTCCTGTTCATGAGGTAGGAAAAGTACAATTTGAATATCAAATACCTTGCACAAAGTCAAAGGTCAGCTAAATATTATATTTCTACTTCTATTTACCCCTTTGTGGCTTTTTTCGTGCTTTCACTATCCTTATCTGCCAATAATTTGGAGAGTTCACTTTCATTCAGCGAAGCAAATCTGCTGTCGGCCATTGTTTGTTTTTTTCCCGCGCTTATAGGTTCAAGCTTTTGGCCGCGCAAGGGTTTGGGCACGAGAGAGTCCAATAATTTTTATTTTGGATGCAAGTTCGATCCAAAAAAACAATTATTGGACGCTGATGACGTCATCGGCGGAAAATACGTAATAAATGCCGAATACTGAAAATTAGCCGTTGCTTTCTGACCAATTAGAAACGAGAATACATATTAAATGTATAATAAAATCTCTAGTTGTGTTGAGCTGTTATATTATGATCCTGTTTATACCCACCAACTGCGCCAGGCAGGCCATTATCTCGTTTATAATTGATGCAAATAAATTGAAATATTGAAAAAAATTATTTAACACTTTTGTGTGTCTTTAAATTCAATGGTTTTCATAAAAGAAGAAAGGGGGAGGTTTGGGGGCCTCGCGCTAAAATTTGCCACGGGCCTCGCGCGACGTTAATCCGGCCCTGGTCACTTGTCGGTAGTTCTTGCGGGTTTTTTGCCAATTGACAAAGATCAAAAGATAGCACTGATGACACCCCCTGTCGGAAAAATACTGGTGCAGCACAAACCAGTTCAGTGAAATATGGAGCCCCAGGGCCAATTATATTCTTTGGGGCCCCGGTGAACCACAATTACCCCCCTCCGTCGACAAACTTTTTATCGCCTTGCAAATTTGTATTTGCCTGTCTTCCTTGAGCTGGGGTCGCGGAGAAAATTGCTCCCTTTGCCGCCTCCCTGCATGGGCGGCCCTGGCGCCGCCCTTTTCTTATCATAACTATCTACCCTAATTCAAGCTGATTGGCGCGGCTCGATGAATTAATTGCCGCTTTCAAACAGAGGTTTATTATTTTAAACTCTCGAACCAGGGTACCTTTTGTCACTCTGAGGCCAGCGAAATAACCTCTTCCGCAACATGCACGTACCCGTCTACTATCGTCAAGAAACAATCAATACGTATAATCGTTGTGGTCTGTCGGATTTTAATTCAATAGTGTAAACCTTGCAGTTTTAGGGAAGCCTCATATATCGATTTTTTCCACAAGAAACGTCATATGTTCGTTTTGGGGGTGGGGGGGGGGGAAAAAGAAAACAACTTGAAAGAAAACGACTATTCAAATATAAGGGCTGGTAAACTAAAAATAAAAACTCCTTATATGGATAAACATTATAAACGTTCATTTCACATGCACATGTACACGCACGCTAACAGCTGCTAAATTATTAACTTAATAAGTATTTGTAAACATCAGTCGATAAATATAATGGTACATTAATATGGACAAAATGGATCAAAACCTCTGAAAGCAGCAGTTGTAGTTCCAATTCTTTTGGGGAATTTAGTAGCAAATATAATCCTTAAATAGCTCATCGATTTGTATTTGTTAGTGCTAAAGTCAAACGGCCGGGTCGTAGATCACGTTGAATAATGATCTGAAATTATCATGCAACCGTCAACAATGTCTCAAAATACTGGATGTTTGATGTTTTTTTACAAATATACCGGGATTTCTGGACCACTTTTAAACTTAGCAAAGCGAAAAGTCCCCATTCAAGAATATGTTTTTTCTCAAAAGGTAAAATACTTAGAATACTTGATTAAATTGTTTACTTTGACGGTGTATAAATTAACAGCGTTTGACTTGCAAGACGTCAAAAACGGAAGATTTCAACGCGCTGTCGTTTATCGCGTATTCATTTGCCAAAAGAAGTATTTACGTCAATTGAAAGCTTGTTTATTAAAGAGCCAACCAGTAGAAGCATGATCGATTTGGAGCTTTATCGCATGGTGAAAATCGATTTTGTTAAGAGGGTATCGTAAATGAAGTAAGATAGTGTGCTCCAAAACTACGATAATTTCTATTCCTAAAAGTAACTCAGATTTCCTGTAAATCATGTACACAGTCCTTTGAATAACCGGAAACAAGATTTTTAGGGTTTTAGATCGATTAGAAACGGTTGTCGTCGTGAAATTTATCTGTAAAATCAGCGCATATTTTCCCAGAAAAAATGGCGATTTATGGTGGTCGTGTTAAAACGGCATTTTCTCAAAGCTAAAAAGCATTTGACCTAAAAAAAAATATGGTGCATTTTCCGATATAATAAGGTATATCTGGGCAAAATTTGAGCAAAATCGATTTTTCAGTCGTGGCCGCTTTATGTTTGATTCTTGTGGACATCCTCTCTTGAAATATTAAACAACCACTCAGCTCCGAACTTAAAGGATAAATTTGTATCAAGGGACATAAATCTTAGTACTAATTATAATCTCAGAAATGATGATATAAATCTTTCAGTTCCTAAACCACGTACTGAATATTTAAAAAAGAGTTTTGGATATAGCAGGCCTGTTCTATGGAATAGTTTACCTACGCAGGCAAAGCAAACAGAATCTTTAAGTAGTTTCAAAAATTTGATAAAATAATGTGTGCTACAGAGTCAGGCATCGAATAGTCTTGGTTTTTACGTATTTGTTATTCTATGTTATTCTATTTCATATTTAATTTATATTAGTTTTTAGAATGTAATTTGTGTGACACCCCTCATGAAAATCATCCATGGGTGACGAGGGAAGCGTGGTTAAATAAAGTTTTACTATACTACTATACTATACTATACTATACTATACTATACTATACTATACTATACTATACTATACTATACTATACTATACTATACTATACTATACTATACTATACTATACTATACTATACTATTTAGCTGCTTTTATGAACGTACCACCGTTGTCAGAATAGATCACCCGAGGTCTACCGCATCGAGCAATGAATCTTTTCAAACAGGGAACGAACATTTCTGTCGTGAGATCAGGAAGCAGTTCCAAATAAATTCCTCGCGATAAACTACACGCAAAGATTACTAGATAGGCTTTCGACTCTTTCTTGGTTTTCTTGTACCTAATCGGCCCAGCAAAATCGACTCCTACGACTTCGAACGCTGTTTTCCCGTCTGTTCGATTTGTTGGAAGATAGCCTGGTGCTGGAGTCTTGATCGCTATTGTCCGAAACCGCTTGCATCCCCAGCATTCGCGTCGTATCGTTTTCACCAGTCGTCTTAGTTTCGGAACCCAGTACGTCTCTCTTATAGCAGCCATGGTCAGACCGACACCGCTGTGTAAGGTGTTGACGTGAATTCTCCTGACTAACTTCTTTGTGAATGTTGCTTTCGTTGGCAGGTAAATTGGGTGCGCTCCTTGTACTCTACCATGGCATGCCAACATCCCGTCCTGGTTCTCTTTAAGGTTGAGAACTTCCTTCGTTTGGGCGAACTGGAGATTTTTGCTGTCCTCACTCTGGATGCGTTTGATCCACCATCGTTTCGCCTCTTCCGTTTCTGAAGGATTCAAAGGGCCTTTCCGTTTCTCACGGTTCTTGCAATTGTGGACGAATCTGAGTATCCAGGCAGTGACTCTCAGCGTTGTACCCAATTCGTTTCTTTCCAAAACAAGATCTAAGTCATCGCTTTCTTTCGTTGTCTGTGTTGTGCACAAGATCTCGCGGACGATCTTTGCCTCAGCTTGCGATTCTTTCGATGATTGGATGATTGGACTTTCTGGCCAATTCTCTGGTGTTCCTAACCACTTTGGACCGTTCAACCACAGCCCCGTTAACTGCCCTCCTCTGCTTCCCAGATCTGCGGGGTTCTGATTTGTTGGAACATAATGCCACTTGACTGAGGTGTGAGAACGAACCTTTGCAACACGGTTTGCAACAAACTGCCGATATTCACCCGTTCCTTCGATCCAGTAGAGGGCAACAGTACTGTCCGACCAACAGTGTTGTTCGGTGACCTGGTCTTCTCCAATAGTGCTTTCGCAACATTTTTCACTAGATTCACCGCCATGTGCCCCGCAATAAGTTCTAGCCTTGGAATAGTAAGTCCTCTCTTCGCCAGACGTGATTTGGCCGCGATAAGCATTATTTTGTGTCTCTCCCGAATCTTGTTTGCTCACCCCGTAAACAGCAGCAGAAATTCCTTGACCACTCGCGTCTCCGAAAGCATGGAGGTGGATTTCTGTTATGGGTTCACGGTATGCAGCTATTGATCTTGGTACGGTCACAGATAAGGGCATTGATTGTTCCCATGACAACCATCGTCTTCGTAGATTACCTTCGAGTTCTGCATCCCACGGTAACTTTGTATCACAGATCTCCCGATAGATCAATTTTCCTTGTAAGGTAATAGGAGATGCAAGCCCTAGTGGATCGTAGGTCTTCGCGAGTCTACTTAATATTTCTCGTTTGGTTGGCGTCTTGCTCTCTTCGTTTGGAAACAGAACACTTAGTGTGTCGCTTACTTTGTTCCACGGCAATCCGAGGATCTTGGATTCTTGTGGATTTACTCCCAGCTGTTGCTTCGCAGCTGGTTGGTCTTCGATTACTTCGGACTCATCGTCGTTGTCTTCAAGTGCACTTACGTTCGAAGCCCATTTATGGAGTTTGAAGGTTGCGTCTTCGAGAATGACGGTTGCTGTTTCTTTCCGAGCTTTCGCTTGTTCCACAGATTCCCCTCCACTTATGATGTCATCAACGTAAAGACACCGTTCTAGTTCTTCTACGTCATCAGGTTGTTCACGTTTCCATCGTTATAGGTGTGAAGCTATGACTCCCCCGAGAAGAAATGGCGATGAGATGAGGCCAAACAGAACTCTAGTAAACCGAAGGATCCGTAACTCACCGTTCTTTGTCGTCCAGTGGAACCGTAGTGCATCGCGTTCCGTTTCTCTGATGCGGATCTGAAGAAATGCTTTCGTGATGTCTCCCGTTAAAGCAACAGGAAAAGTTCGCTGTCGTACGAGGACTTCCCACATCTTATTTTGTAAGGGTGGTCCAGGGTTAAGGCAATCGTTCAATGAAGGATCTTGTGGGGATGGTTTCGCGGACGCGTCGTACACCACTCGGAGCTTTGTCGTGGCAGCGCTTTCTCGGATGACTTCCTTGTGGGGTATATAGAACTCGACTCCCGTCACTTGCGGTGGTGCTTCTTCGACGATTCCTTGTTGAATTTGGTCTTCAATCACAGCGGCGTAAGGTTCTGTGAGATCTCGTTTTTTCAGCCGGTTTTGAAGAGCGGTAAGCCGTCGCAAACTTCCTTCCCGGTTGTCCTTAAGGGGTGGATGGTTCCCTCTCCACGGTAGTCCCGTCTCGTACCAACCTTCAGGTGATCTGTTCAACTGCTCTTTGAATTCTTCGTAAACTGTCAATTGGTCGTGTTCGCTTTTATCTTCGAGTCCAAGGACATCTAATCGACAGAGGGCTTCATAATCAGCTTGGGAAGTTTGGGTCAACAACATTTTCGCTTCGTCGAACTCGGTACCAGGACTCATCACAAACCAACCCAGTTTTGTAAGTTCGGCTATTGGCTCTCCTTCGTTTCCAACTCGTGGTCTCTCTTGAGTTTTGACACGTGCATACTCTCCACTTCCCAGGACGACGTGGATTGGAAGGGATTTCTTGGTCTCGGTCTCGTTCAGTTTTACTCGTTCAGATGTTGATACTTCTGCAGAAGATTCTTGTATTGGGGGTTATCGACAACTAATAACTGACTCTTATTTACTTTCGTCAAGTTCGTTTCGAGTTCATAATTCGAGTCAAGTGCTTGCACCTTGACTTTATAAACCTCGAGATGGGTAACCTGTGACGTCATCAACATGTCAATTCGGGTGGTTTTTGTTTCCATGGGCTTTAGTTTTAGGGCATCTATTAATTTCGCAGAAGCATAGGAGCTTCCTGCACCAGAATCTATAAGTGCTCTGCATGTTACACCGTTGACGTTTACGACTACGACTGGAAGAATAGCCTCGCTTCCGGTTTTACTTGTCATACCCATCAGGTTGACCTTCGAATTGGTATCACAGATGGACGTATGATGTCTCTTTTCGCAGTTTTGGCATGAACGCTTGCTTGGACAGTTCGCTGCTTTGTGGTTACCGGCTGCGCAGTTAAAACAAAGTTTTTTCTTCGCTAAAATCTCCTTGCGAGTACTAACGTCGGTAATTTTGCTACACGAAACGGTTTTGTGGTCTCCCCCCTCGCAATATGCACACGTACGCTCTGGCGCTTTCGAGAAAAGCAACTTTCTTGATTTTTCGTGCTTCCACGATTTGTTTTCATCCCTTTCATTTGTTTCAACGATCGGGTTTCTTCGTGCCCATAATCGGAGAGCTTCGGATAATTTTGAGAAGTCCCAGTCTTCCCAATCTGGGTCTGTGCGCACTAAATCCCCCCTGATCGCTTGAAGTTTATCCAAGGTCATGGGTACATAACCATTCACCGTCTCTAATTTCTTTAGGGTTTGAAGTGCTTGGACAGCATGCATCAACTGATCGTTAAATTGATGTATTTTCTTAAGATTAACTTGATTGATAGTTGGCAGATCCATAATTAGTTTGACGTAAGCCTTAATAACTTCTGAATTCTTGCCATACCTATCTTGAAGTATGGCTTTGGCGCGATTATAACCCTCGGGGTCGAAAGGTAAGCCTTCGATGATAGTTTTAACTTTGGGCGACAAAAACCCACACAAATAGGCAAATTTATTCACGGGTGCTATAGAACGTTTGTCCACAGTCTCAGTAAACTGACCCCAAAATCGTGGCCAATCAAGGGGCGACCCATCGAATCTTGTTATCTCAATCTTGGGCAGTTTTGCGCTAATCAATTCGACATTCTCTACATTTTTGCATGTCACTCTTTAAGGCTGGTACAGGGTTTGAGTCTAACTTAAGTTGATGTAATTTCATCTCAAACCGTATCCTACCTTCCTTTTCTTCGGCATCTCTTTCTGCTTCCTTCCCTTGGAGCCATTGCTTGATTCGCGTTACTTCGTCGTCCGCCGCTTCGATTTTCTCGTCAACAGATGCCTCGAATTCCGCGATCGCTTCGAGATCGGTTTTATCCGCAAGTTTCAGCTCTTCGACTGTTCGTTTACATTGATCGACTTCACTAGTTATCACTTTAAGAGCGCTCAGATGACGCTCAATTGCCTCCTCTTTGCCTTTCTCTAAAATATTCGCCGTTTTCTTCACAGATAGTTCTAGTTGTGTTAACTTAACCTTTAGCTTCGACTCTGCCAGTTCCATAGTCACATGTATAAAGATTTACCACAGTAAATACAGATACGTTAAATCCCGTGTCGGAGGTGCCAGGATTTAGTGGATATTCTGCCTCCGTTGGTTAGAATTGTAGTCCACCAAAGATCACAACAAAGTTTTATAAATTTATTATATTCTCTCAATCACAGTATATTAAATCACTCACGTCTCGGTCTTGCTATATGTCCCGTCTCTCTCTATTCTATATTATCAGTTCTGTCTCAGTTCTCTCTCACCTAGTGACAGCCGTCACTCATCTAACTATATGATTAAAGATCGTCTAATTAACTAAATAACTAATATTAACTATGAGATAATAAAACTTGACCTGTCTCCAACAGGTAACTTCAACGTCAAAAATACATTTAATAATGAAAAATTGAAAAGTCTGATGGAATTGAATTTCAGCGTCGAAATTCACTTCGTTGTGTCTCTTACCCTAATATAACCCTGCGGAGTCGAGTCAGGTTTCCCCCTCTCCCGGTCTAACATTATATTATATTAATATATAATCTCCAAAGGCAACTATAAGTATAACAAAATATCAAAAATAAATCTATAGTATTGTTGTTATGCCTTCAATAGTACGTATAATGTGTACACCACCGGCACTGTAGAGTTTAATAAACTTTTTTTCCTTTTTTTTAAACATTCTTTTGTGAGGAAGCCTTATCATCAAAGATGGTTTTCATAAGGGACCTCAAATAAGAAGGAAATAATTATTTACATAAAATACTGACCATAATTATTGCTATCTACTCCAAACAGAATACAGTATGCAACAAGAAAATGAAATTAATAATTAATTAGAAATCCTAAGAAAGTTCAAAAAGTTAATTAAATGGTCAATTAAGTCCACGTGCTTAAAACACTACGATAACAAATTATTCATTACATTCTGAGACATATATATTTGTTTTTAAAGGTAAAAAAGCTACTAGAATCTTTAACAAATGGCGGAAGATTACTCCATTCATAGCTAAAGAACATATAGTGCGATGTTTGTTGTCCCCAATTTGTTCTACAAAGGGGGAGTCTAATTACTAAACTGTTTATGTCCTGCATCATGACAGTGTAAATCACTTCCTTTAATTACAAAAGCAAAATCTGACATTGAAGCTGTTAATATAAAGCGACTAAACTTCAACATTTGCCATGGGGGTATTCATTGAAGTTACATTGTACATCTATGTGTTTTCGACGCTGAATTTCAATCAAACAAATCAATTTTTCATTATTAAATGTATTTTTGACATTGAAGTTACCTTCCTATAAACTTTAATTCAGCGTAATCTGCTTTGCGTGTCGTAGTTTCTTTCTCTGCCTGCTGGCATTTCATAATCAAGTGCGGCGGTACATTTGATAAAGTTTGATCTGCTGAAATTAGTGGACAGTTTGAAAGCACATTGGCCAAAATGTTTGATCCCTTAGGCCTGGTTAGTTGCGTAATTATTTTGATGAAGATCTTATTTCAGCAGCTATGTGTTGACAACGTAACTTGGGATGAGGAATTAATTGGCAAGCACGCCAAAGTATATTTAGATTGGATTGATGATTTGAAACGAGTTGAAACAATAACATTGAACAGATGTGCCAGCAACATAAGCGCGGTGAAATTCAATCGTGCGAACTTCATGGGTTCGGCGACGCTAGCGAAAAAGCGTATTGCGCGGTGGTTTATTTTGTTTGTCGTACTTCCACTGCAGTTTATGTTCAGTTGCTAACAGCCAAAACTAAGGTCGCGCCGCTTAAGACTCTTACCATACCGCGCTTATAGCTTATGTCTGCGCTTATGATTGTTGGCCAAGTTAGTAGATTCGGCGAAGAAAGCTCTCGCCTCACAAGTTAAGGGTTTGGAAACTAGGTATTGGCTGGACATTATTACTACTTTGTACTGGATCCAAAACCATGGAGAATGGAAGCAGTTCGTACGCCATAGAGAAAACCCTGCAGACTTGGGAAGTATGGGAAAATTGGTATCTAAATTGCAGGAAAACCCTCTCTGGTGGGATGCCCTGAATGGTGAAGTGATATAGATAGAGCATGGCCAAATTCTAAAATTGATTCGACAGAAGAGCTAGAGTAGGGAGGAAGAGAAGAAAGCAACAGTTAGTTGCGAATGTACACGAAGTTGTACGTATAGATAAAGTGATATCTATTGAGAAGTTTAGTTTAGAGAGAAATAAGTGAGAGACGAGATGAGAGACCGAAGAGAGCTGCGGCTCTGGATTCGGTATGGAAGACGAAAAGTATGATTGACTGGTGGGACTAGTCAAGGTGGGAAGTGTGTCGCAAAATGTTATGTATTCTGTGTGTAATGTCTATTTGTCTTGTGTTAAAAATATTATATATATAGAAAACATTATTTGTATCATTAAATGTGGTACGGGACATAAAATTGCATCGTAATGAGAACACCTAATCCCATATTAGAACGTCACGGACATGACTCGGGATGGTGTGGTAGATCAAAATTGGATTATGAACCACAAAAAGGGAACAAAATAGCAGTAAATGTGTTCCATTTACGTAAGGAAATGTGTGGTGGAAAACATATGTATTCCTGCTTTGTTAGTATAAATATATAGGCTAAAAAGTGTAGTGTTGGTATTGGTTTTGGTGATTGGACAGGTTATTGTCGTATTGAACGTGTTATGTGTGTGTTAGTTTGAATCGCAAATCGAGAGTTGAGAATCGTGTTGGGTAATTGTAACTTATATCATTGTAAAACGACGTGCACTAAACAAGTGCAAATATCTGTACTTAATAAATATACTCCGGCAAAAAATACAGTCCCACGTGTGAAGTGTCTTGAACCGTGAGCCAGCAACCAGAGTGACGTAAATCGAACTAAGTTACGCGACAGTCTACTGGTCTTTCCATGGGAACACCCGATAATATTTTTGCAAACCTAGAACAGGATACACATGCAAGATCCCACTGTTCTTAGTAATCTGATAAATGACACGTTTTTGGAACCCATGTTTAATAACCCTCCTTTAAACGATAATGTGGCTGTTATATCTGAAAACGATACCCCAATTCTGGTTTCTGTCGAAGAAGTGTTATCTCATTTACAGCGTATCGGTTCGGGTAAATCAAATGGCCCCGATATCTACCGAATTGTGTGTTGAAATCGTTTGCAGATTTACTTGCCGAACCTGTTACAGTGATATTGAATGCGTCTTTCCTGGAGGAACGGCTAGTCGGCTACCCGCGGTGTGGAAGCTAGCAAACGTATGTCCCATTCCTAAAACTGAATAACATTGTCATTGGACGTTAAGAAAGATCTGCGGCCTATATCACTCATATCATCATTGTGCAAAATCGCTGAGGAAATTGTCATCTCATATGATCTAAAGTCTTCAATAATGTTATGTATAGATCCCAATCAATATGGTTTCATTCTTGGCTCCTATACTACATTGGCCCTAATATCCTTAATTCACCGTTGGACAGAAACTGTGGATGCGAGGGGCGGAAAGAATTTGAACAATATAAGTAAGATAAGTGAAAGTGGTAGATATGCTGATTTGGGATCATCTAAACAAACAATTGAAGTAGAAAAAATTGCTAATACTACAATTAGATCTAGTATAACTCAACAGCGACATAAACTGAAGGGCTTCAAGATATCTCACTTAAATATCAGAAGCTTAGTTAAAAATATAGATCAGTTTAGGATATATAGTCATAACTGCAAGTTTGATATAATATGTTTATGTGAAACAATGCTAGACGGTACAATCCAAGATTATGAAGTAAATGTTAATGGATACGAAGTTATTCGTAAAGATAGAAATCGTAATGGCGGGGGTGTTGCGATTTATATTAGAAATTGTATAAGATATAAATTACGGCCAGACTTAGATCACGCAAATTTGGAATCAATCACAGTTGAAATTTTCAAACCAAAACCGAAGTCGTTTTTAATCAATACATGGTATAGACCACCGGGTACAAGTCTTGATTTGTTTAGTGATTACGAGGAGTGTATTACAAAAATGGATTATGAAAATAAGGAAGTTATCACAATTGGAAATTTCAACTGTGATTGGAACAATTTCGGAGAACGTACAATTTCACCTCAGACAAAAAGAATCGTTGATCTTGCTCAAACATTTCAATACGAACAATTAATTAAAGAATCAACGAGAATAACCGAAACTTCTAGTACGTTAATAGACTTGGCATTCAGTAAACAAGCCAGAACTGATTATTGACTCGGGCGTCGAACACATAGGAATAAGTGACCATATCATGATCTATGTCTGCCGAAAAGTTTCTACTCCCCGAAAAGAGCCAAAAATTGTCAACACAAGACAGTATAAATATTTCAAAATTAATGCTTTTAGATCAGATTTAATTGAAATTTTCCAAATACAATCAAACCTTACAAACCCAAACATTCTTTGGGAGGAGTGGAAATCAAAATTTTTGACGGTTGCTGATCTACATGCGCCACCAATTACACGGAAAGTTAGAAGTGAGTATGCTCCTTGGATTACAGAAAATATTAAGAAAAGTACGCAAAATAGAGATTATCTTAAAAAAGGCCGTTAAATCGGGCACAAGGAATGTGCACGAAGCGTATAAAAGAGCAAGAAATGAAGTAAACAAGCTCGTTAAAAACACGAAAACTAAATACTTTATGAATGCCCTAAGTGAAAATAATCAAAATCATAAAACAATGTGGAACACAATTAGGACATTGACAAACAAAAATTCTAAAACAACTAACATCACTGAGATCCACGTTGAGAATGACCACTCTGTTACCGAGCCTAAACAGATTGCTGATGCCTTTAATACATTTTTCATTAATATTGGTACTCAACTGGCTGATTCATTAATATTGGTACTCAACTGGCTCAACTTTACCTGTAACCAACATAACGCCAGAATCATTTATCACCCCTGCGAATTCCTCTTTTGAAATTCATACCGTTTCAATTGAAAAAGTATTTAATTTACTTTCCACTATAAAGGTTTCTAAGGCAACAGGACACGATAAAATCTCACCAAATTCACTGAAAGACTCTGCAGATATCATAGCGCCATCATTGGTTAATATGTTTAACCAATCTATTAAAACTGGTATCTTTCCTGATGATATGAAAACTGCAGTGATCTCACCTATTTTCAAGTCGGGAAATAAGACAGAGTGTACTAACTATAGACCAATTTCAATATTCTCGCAATTTCCAAAATCTTTGAGAAACTCATTTCAATGCAATTGTCTGAATATCTGGAATCCAATGAGATACTCACAGGTGAACAATCAGGTTTGCGAAAGAATCACTCAACACAATCATCGCTCCTTCAAGCTACCAACAAATGGTTGATCAATATGGACAATGGGTGCTTGAATGGTGTAATATTTTTGGACCTGAAGAAAGCCTTTGATTGTGTTGATCACGATATACTGCTTAGGAAACTATATCTCTATGGGTCTGACCCAATTACCTTAAAATGGTTTAAGTCATATCTGTCCAATAGAACACAAATATGTAAAATTGAGCGTACCATGTCAAGAGAACATACTATAAGATGCGGAGTGCCTCAGGGATCAAACCTAGGACCGTTGTTATTTCTAGTATACATAAATGATCTCCCGAGGTGTCTCTCGCACTCGTCTAGTAGTATGTTCGCTGACGACACAAACTTAACGACAAATGGTGGTACAAGTGATGAAGTCATAACTAAATTAAACGTGGAAAAACCAGATCGAAAGCATAGTTAACAAGGTTTCAAAAGGTATCGGAATGATACGTCGTATTAAGAAATATATTCCGGCAACAGTTTTAGAAAACGTCTACAAGGCTATAGTACTGCCTTATTTTGACTATTGCAGTTTAGTTTGGGAAAACTGTAGCGTCTACCTCCAAGATAAATTACAGAAAATGCAAAATAGAGCAGCTACAGTAGAGTAATTACGGGGAAACCGTACGATACAAAAATAAGTGATATGCTGAATGAACTTGGTTGACAACCATTAGCTGGACGAAGGAGATCTCAGAAAATAGTATTTATGCATAAAGTTAAAAATAAGCAATTCTCAGAAAGCATATCTAGCATGTTCCATATTAATAGAAACGACAGCTGTACAACCTACGCAATAATAATGTCAATTATGCACTTCCAAAACCTAAAACAGATTTCATGAAAAAAAGCATAAGTTATTCAGCCGTAAGTCTATGAATAGCCTCCCAAAAGCCGCTAAAGTACATGACGTTTCTATTTGGCAATTAAAACAATTCTTTCGAGCTGATTATAATTACGAATAGACGAAATGCGCGAACAGTAAATAGAATCTAATTATGTCGTTTGTTTGTAAATATCTCCTGTATTGTGTTAGGTTAGTTCTTTAATGTCTTTTTATATATTTTTTATTGTATTACTGTAAACGGCCCCTTGGAAATCAGATGTTAGTAGATCTGAAGGGTTACCGTTTCCAAATAAGATTAAATAAATAAATTTAATTGGATAGTAGATTTCCTACGTGCACAATCACAAAGAGTAAAGCTCCACTCGGACTGTTTTTCAGATTGGAAGCCTATAAATGCTGGAGTTCCTCAGGGAACCAAATTGGGCCCATGGCTATTTCTCCTTATGATTAACAATCTTTCGATCCCATCTGATGATTTTGAACTGCCAACTGGTGATATGTTTAAATACGAAAACGACACCAATGTTTCTGAATATATATTTAATCAAGAGTATACGAGTTCCCTGCAAGATGTTACTAATTGTATTGTGAATTGGTCCACTTACAATAAATTTGAACTCAACCCGACAAAATGCAAGAAGATTGTGATTAATTTTCAGCGTAATGAACCTGTTTTCCCGCCGATAAAGATAAACGGAATTAACATAGAGCGTGTTGAAGAAGCAATAATTCTCGGTTTATTGATCACTCAAGACATAAAGTGGAATGCCCATGTGGATAAGATAATAACTAAAGCAGCGAAGCGACTGTACCTGATGAGGCAACTAAAGAGATCGGGTCTTAGTGACAATGACTTAAAATGTTTCTACATTGCTTCTATAAGATCTATCCTTGAATCCGCATGTCAAGTATTTCATTACGATCTCCCGGAATATCTAGTTTCAGACCAAATAGAGCGGATTCAGAAGAGAGCTTCGCGCATCATATGCATGCCCAGACTTGTCGTATTCAGAAGCCATTGAAGATATGGAAACTTTGAAAACAAGAAGGAAAGGATTATGTACTAAAGTCTTCAAATCAATAGTGAATGACAAACATCATAAAATTCACCATCTCTTACCTACCAAGCATTCAAATACTTACAACTTAAGAAATCCAAACTTTTTCAATATTCCAGGGTGTACGTAATACCAATAGATTTAAAAACACTTACGTTTTATCAAGTCTCTTAGAACTAGTCTAATTTATACATTTATAATATTTTTAACTCAGTATTTTTATCCTCAGGAAGATCTAATTGTAAAGTTATATATTTCTTAATATAATTATTATAAAAATCATGTAATTCAGCCTCCGGGCTGCGAGATGATTTGATTTTAATAAATCATCTCTCAAATAAATTTCGATATCACGACCGCGTCTTTCGAGCTCTTTATATCTTCTATTTCAATAAGTTTAGGCGATGCGCGTTCGAAATGTTGCTGTGCTTCGAGTACTCGAAATTGTCGTTGAGCCATCTGGCTCGATCTCCTCAACCTTGTCTGCTACGGAAGTTCTCTTGACGAGCTAGTAGAGATTTTTTGCGCAATTTTTGTGCTTAATATACATTTACGCGCAACACAAGTTTCGTTGCTTAACTGGTCATTGATGACCTCACATTCGTCTGTAACTTTCACAACGTTTTATCATCCATGCTTCGATAATGTCCTCTTTCTTAGCCCTCTTTCTTAGCCCTACTTAACAACCTTGTTAAAGCCGATTTTGCATTTCGTTTCTCCCGTTTTGCCGTTTGCAACGCGAGCTCCATATTCGTTTCCAGTTCCGCATTTCGTTTCAGCTGGGGCATTCCTGACTGCCCTGAGTCTCTTCGTCGCCCATTTCCCTAATAAATTGTAATCCTCTGTTTCTACTCACTATTCTATAGATCCGGCTCGAAGGACCATTTGTTGTTCCGCCCAATAACAACTGTGCATTGGTTTCGTTTTAAACAATATATTTGCAATTTCCATACATTCTCGTTAATTAACCCTTGATCTGTCTATATTTTATTCGTCTCTAATTTCTACAGATCATGCATACCTGTTTTAAGTGTTTAATGCATGCTTGAGTATAATTAATTTTAACCAATCACGTTCCCTTTCGCTTAGATTTACGCTTGCATGATTAAGATTTCAGTAATTGCTGCCGCAGTGAGCGAGCGAGCCTTAAGTTAGCCTGCGTGCAGCCTCAACCCAAATTTTTTAAAAATTTACTTGATTCTGCGCATGATGTAAAGCTTTAATAATAATCCACCTTAAGTAAAAAAATACAGTGGACTTACAAATTCAAAGACATTATAAAATCATCTATATTACAATAAAAATTTGTATTTTTAAAAAGGTTCAGTTTCCAAAGGCACAGACGACGATTATATCCTTCAGTTCAGAGAATAATGCAACCTACATTCAGCCTAAAATTACAGAACCGTCTATTACAGTAGCAATTTAAAGTTTCTTGATTAAAAAGTTTAACTGCACGAGGCATAAACGATGATCGGGAGAGAAAAAATTGTGCGGTCACGTGGATTTCCCCCTAAAAACGCGGATTGTGATTGGTCAGTTGCTAAATATTCATGTTTAACGATAATTTATGCTAAACGGGAAATTAAATTTTAAGAGTCCGATTCAAAATGGCGTTCATTGAGCGAGAGAATTTGCAAGGCGAAACTTTTGAGGATGCTCTGAAAATTGTATGCGGATTTTTCCAAATTGATAATCTGTATGAGGAGCAAGAGATTATTCTAAGACAGTTTTTTCTCGACAAAAAGCAGTTCCACTTTTAGCTGATCTGTTAATAGATAGGCCTGCTCTGGGACCTTAACTCGCCGCGAGATAAGGCGAGCCTATGCGAGTTAAGGCGAGATAGGGAGAGTTAAGGAAAAATCTGGCTACTGACCCTTGCGAGTTAAGGCGAGATAAGGCGAGTTAAGGAAAAATCTGGATATTGTATACACACTATGTCTTTTGCTTTGTTTGTGAATTATGCAAAACAAGTATGCAGTACTTGAAGTAAGAGGCCTAGAAAAGTGTTTTATTCTATATTCTACAATACATACATCATATGCACAATAACTTGGGACCTGGAAACAAGTTGCATCAAAACGAGGCTGGTAGCCAGGTGCCAAATTGTAAAATAATTTCCTAAATCTTTACAGTATCAGTTGCTAACTTGCTATGACTAGCTTCACCACATATTTTGTAATTTTTAGCTGTTTTCATCAATCATGACATTATCAATTAGGTTCGAATTTGTTTGCAAGCAGCAGTCCTTAGTAGTCCTTGTATTCTATTTTTAATTTAATTTAATATAAACATTGACATAAAACAAAGAGAAACTAAAAAGCTTGCTAGGAAATTATAGATTATTTACTATATTAAATTTAACACTTTAATTTAATAACTATTTTAATTAACGAAATTTCGAACCACAATGGCATATTAAATGATAACAATACGGTCATAATACTAAAATTAATGCCCAACTTACTTGCTTTGGAAACGTAAATGAATGTAAATGACAATGATTTCTCTGTATAAAACTGTGTTATTGTTTAATATATTCCTATTTCCTATCAAGGTTTTATATTCAGAATTCACTGCTACTCATTAACACTAACACTAA